AAGGTATGTCTAATCACACTAGCCCTAATTCTTCGCTGAGCTTCCTGTCTCATCATTTTCAAATAAATAAAAGTTAGAAAATATAACATTCACTTTTTTTTGGCACAGACTGATGCAAAATGCTGTATTTTAGTCATATCAATTTTTGACTTGTACCATTTATGCTAGAAGCTCTTCTTCAAACCCATAATTTGCATTAACTCTTTGAGTGCCATATTTTTGCCTGCCAACATTTTAAATCAGTATTTTGCTTATATTTATGTATTTTTCCAAATTTGTTGCAAAAATAGACATCATTTTCTATTGCCTATGGGTCTATATCAAAATTTTGAAAGAAATCAAAAAACAATTATGGGTTTAATTTTGTGAATTACTAATCTCACTCAAAATGCAAATGAAAAAAAGAAAATTGCACAGAATACAAATACAAGGGCAGTATCTTATAAAGAGTTCCGAATCTATAAACATAATCTAATCTATGGAAAGTTTTTTTCTTTCTTAGCATTTCACTTGTTACTATGGCAACTGATTTAATCTATAAATCCAGCAATCGATAAGGAAATTAATCTTTGTTTGTAATCAAAGTAATGGTCATACTGGGAATACTACTTAGCTACATATATACATGTAGTTCCCCTTCACTCGTTAAACTGTCATTTTGTCATCGGGTCATGTTTGAAATAGTTGTTTCAATATTTTCTCGGCATTTCACTCGATTGTAATAAATTTTTGTGACAGGCATATTGCACCTAAAATACTGATGTCAGATAAATATGCCAGGTGTGTTCATTTTGGGATCTGTAACCATGACAATAAAGCACTCTGTCATTTTTTTCTGAAAAAAAAACAAATTGTATAAAATGGCAATCGTCAACTTAATTTTCACTGCTACCGGTAGGAATTACTGTCATTTGATGATTTTATAGTATTGGTGAAGCCAAACTTTCTCGAAAAGCGCTGACTCCCATTTTTTATTACGATTTTCACTGACTCACAAATATTTGCAAAATTGAAGGTATTTACAGTATACTCAGCACAGTAGATAACAAATATCTTTGTAAATTACGTTTTATGAGACTTTTTATGAGTACCAGTATATCTTGCTGCATGTTATTAGTTACAATCACGTTTCTTGTCAAATACATCAATTCATCTATAGGGACATAAATGAGTAAAGGAAGTTGTTCTTGTTGTTATCGTTGCCATCTCCAGCCTTATCTTACTTCTGTTTGTTTGAGTTATGTTTATCTGATTACTTTAACTTTTCTGATATGCAAAGCATCTTTATACTCACGTAGTCACGTGACTTCTAGAAGGTCAGACATCCTGGTACTTTCCGAGGATACAAAATCACTATCTAAGATAATTTCTCAATTTTTGCCAGTGTTCTCCCCATGATACAAACAGCTTCATGGTGCTACCATGCTGCTCTGAGAGACTGCAGCACTGCCACACTCAAAATCATTATAACAGTTCTTTTAAGCCATAAACAATAACCAACGGAAGTCAGACAGCTGCTCTATATAAGTTTATTTGGGTCAGCATATACTTGTAGTCTATTTACGTAATTCACTGATCACACCACAGCTGATTTTAAAAATAAAACGTTTAAATAAAAGATTATCCCAGTGTTGAAAATAAATCATCAATGAAACCGAAAATCAAAATTCCATCGCAACTGCTTTATCGGAATGCACTCGTACAAAGCATTCTTTACGATTCCTTAACCAATCACACCGTGACCGATGACCGATTTGAAAATAAAAATCATTTGAAGAAATGCTAATTCCAATGTTAAAAATAAAACATTCAATGAAATCAACAAAATTGTTGTAGGATGTACGCAAGTCCAAGAAAACAGTTCACTTGCTTTCCATCATGGCTCTTGACCTTTTGGCCTACCTTATTCACAGACTCCAACGTATCTGCTGGGGGGGGGGCATTCTAATCATAACGCTATCTCGCAATTACTGAAATACTGCATTCTGGGTAGCTCCAAATTGTTAGCGGTAACACACAAGGTTACCATGACTGTTAGCGATCGTCACAACATTCAGTTTCCACTACGGCCAGGAATATTTAAAACGACTCAGTTATTATTGTTGTCAATTAACCGAGAATCCTCCATTACATATTCTTGTACAACAAATAGTTGATGAGTACTTCATATTAATATTTTAGTTATAATTTATTGATT